TCTGAACACTATCTGTAGATCTGCCAACTCCAGCATGCGTAAACACATGCACGCATAATATATATTCTAGAACTCACTCTTGCCAAAAAGATGATTGGAGGCAGAAGTTCCAAAGCCTCGCCGCTTTTCTTAGGGAGGGTAATCAAGCGCCATGGAAGAATCTACAACCCTTAAGCGCTAGGATGACTCCGCCCTTTGCTCCACCTAGCTTCTATTCGCTAGGCTGCGAACCGTGAATGGTCGTGAACCCTGACAACTCGTCTAGGCAGATTGTAGCAAATGAACAGCCAAGAAGAGGCTCTACCAAAATGTGAAGTTACTGTTATACCAAGCCAAATGACAACAAGATTCAAGAAAAAGTCAAAAATTTTGAGAGTAATAAATTGATTGATGATAACAATTGATGTCTGAATTATAAGTGTTTGCAATAAATTCGGAATAATTTGAAAACGTGACTTGAATGCTAGAATTGCAAAGCCTAGTCCGAGAATAGGCACTAAGAGGAGCAATGTGCGGACCCGGAATTTAGCAATTGAGAGGCGGTAGATTTCTCAAGGACGCATAGGCATTTGCTCCAGGGTAAAAGCGGCGATTTGGAAACTTCTGCGCGCCCTGAAGACGATTCAATCAAAACTAGAAGTTCTAGTCGAAGTCTAAGGTAAAAAAATGGCCACTTGCAAAGGAAAAGAAAAAATGCCGACAAAGAATGAGAGACGAAGGAATTTAATGCACCTAAATTACGTCAGTTCTCCTTATGCATTTACTAATCGGCTAAGGAGATCTCTAGGCTATGCCATCGAAGGAGGAGCTGCAGCTGCGCGGAGCTCTTGCCATGCATGAGTTCGCGCAGCCAGCTACGTAGATTTGAACGGTGCCTTTGATTACAAACAAACTACTAAACATAAAGACAACAGCAAATGAAGACATTTTTGATGTGTTCGCAAAAACAAACCTCAAGCGTGAGTGAGTATCCCTCGCGTACGGCTACTCGAGGTAACTTGTAGAAGCGTTCGTCTCTATGGAACACTCTCGCCTTCGCTTCAATTCGGAATCGAATCGGCTCACTAGCTTCCGCTAGTATGACATCGGCAGCTACTGTTAGGAATACGCGAGAATCTGATTAAAACATATAATCAGGAGGAAAAAATATAGGAATAATTTAGGAAATTGATGATTGCAAAAAAGGAGCATCTATGCAGGTCCAGCAAAGAAAGCTTCAATACCTCTGGGAGTCTCAGTGTTCAACACATCAAATATATGTACACGAGGATCCCAAATGGCGTTTATCACATAAACAGATGGATTGGCGCCTGCAAATAGGAAAGAATTTCATGAGAGCATGACGAGTAGAGGCTTGAGCAAGAGCCAAATTCAATGATTAGTCTCGTACCAGGTCCCATGCTTTCAAGCTCAAGTAATTGCATGTCACTATGCCGTAAATTGCGTCCAGCTGCTAACAGCATCCCGAAACATTTCGTGACTGTAAGAGGTGGGCCGGATACCTAGAAGAGATTTAGATAAAAAGGACATAGCAGGACAGATTCGAACCTGCTTCAGCTGAACTATGAGTCTTTTGGGCCGATCTCTCCGCAGTTTCAGCGTATTACTTTGTTGCGGACATAAAACCCAATGAGGTGATGTGTGGGACCCTTCATTCTCCTGAAAATGCCATATCAGTTGTTCTAAAAAATTTCTTCTACATAATGTAAAAAACATAGCCAACGAGTAACTCAAATATTCCCTTCGTGAATTTTTTTTTTGCTAAAGATCAAATCTTTACTAGCCTTGAACAACATTACAATTGGGAGTGTAATGTAAGCGATTAAGTACAGCCTAGCATTTCTTTTTTATATCCGAATCTCTCCATAATTACAACTTTTCTCTGTGTTCCGGAATATTCAGAAACTTTTCTCGTTTAGTCCACCACGGTGCTATTACCCTTTGACACGGCAATAAGCGATGAAAACAATAAAAGATATTGGGTTATTTTCTAGGCTATAAGGCCTAAGTCAATATTTATGACTTATGAATAATTCATGAGATGGCCTAAAAAAATTACTTTGACTTTCTTAAATCTTACAATTTTACCATAGCCATCATTACATCGCTTCTCATATTTTACTTTTATCCTGTGCAAATACGAGACAAGCTCAGCGTAGATGGGAATTACACGTTAAACCTTGTGTTTTCTCACTTCAGAAATTGGAAGAAGCTGGATTTAGATGTAGCACATCTTATATGATTTTATCATACAAAAAACAATCTATTATGCTTCTAATTTCAAGTGAC